AGAAACACGTAAGGCTAAACAAATAAACTGTAAATCAATAAAATATTATTGATGATTACACTGGTGGCATGAGCATTTCTGCCAGTGACTATAACTTGATTGATGATTTTGAATGAGTAAAAACACAAATCTCCAAAGTTCTGCCTGGAAATATCGTAACAGTGCTCACCAGTGACTAGCTTCGTGAGAAAATTCTCAGAGTTCTAGTTGAGAAGGCGTAACGAATGGAGTTCAACCCTGTCTGGTGTAGGCAGTAACAACTACCAAAGAAAAATGGGTAAGGTCGCGCAAAATCCCTTGATCAACCATTGGATGCCAACCCAGTGGTTCGATGGTTAGGCGCTCCCGCACAATACCGAAGAGTGGTGCAGGAGTCGTGGATGCGCACTGCTGATGAGTCGCATACTAGGACGAAACGGCCATCGTCCAGTGTTTCCAGGTTTCCCATGGTGGTCTAACAATGATCGATTGATTGATGACTTCAAATGTGTAAAAATACAAATATCCAAAGCTGTAACTGAATACAACTTAACTAGCGAATAATCTTTCATTTTATAGATTTATCGAGATTATTGAGTTTTCTTGAAACTATGAATCGATCATTTTTAGGCCATCATTAGAAACCTGGACGCAGTGGATAGCCATTTCGACCTAGTATGGGACTCACCAACAGTGCACATCCCTGAACCCTAAACCCTGGAATTCGTCTAGTGCGCAAACGCTTGACTTCTTGACCACTGAGCCAGCATCCAACGATGTTAGTGTCTAAGTTGAATCAATCAATGGTAATGCACAACCTTATCCGCTGTCTTCGGTAGGTAACTGCTTACATCCGACAGGGTTGAACTCCACTGATATTGGCTTCTTATTTGACCTTGGAAAATTTTTCTCAGGAAGCTACTACTCATTAGTGAATATGTTTTATGAATTTTCATCAAAGAGTTATGGAGATTATTGAGTTTCGTTGATATTATAACTCAATCATTGTTAGATCACCATTAGAAGCCTAGGTTCGATTCGGGCGAGCGATGTTTCAGTATGCTCACTGCTTGTCAGTCCCATTTTTAGATAGCATAACTATCTAGTGCTCCCAAGTTAACTATAGTTGTCTAACAGTGATCGATTTGAAATTTCAATAAAAAGTAATTCAATTTTAAGATGCTTTGAGTTATCCCGTTGTTGACATTTTGACTGAAATTCGATCAGTGTTGGTTGGCCTACAGACACAAATGAGTGACTCGGTAGTAAGTGGATAACATGGTGGCGTTTGAAACACATGGCACTACTGGGCTTGAGTTCCGTAATGAAAATAAACTTTAGGTTGCGCAGGTACATTTGTCCGGTGAGTCTCAGTAGGGATATGAAACGCGCATCCTGCATTCTACTGTCAACTACATTTTATTTGTTCTATGTAAACTATAGTCATCCTAATTTTTTAAATGTGAAGATTAAGTGTCTGAGTATCGTCTCAACTTTAGAACTGTGCATTGTAGATGCAGTACACACATATCTAGAACTGTACTTTATTTATACTTGTGAAGGCTTCTTCGACACTACGGTGTGCCTGAAAAAATAGTTAACATCATACAGAATTCTTGTGATGGATTCAACTGCAAAATCGTGCACGGAGGACAGCTAACAGACTCTCTCGAGGTGAAGGCCGGTGACAGGCAAGGTTGCTTACTCTCACCCTTTCTCTTTCTCCTGGTCATCGACTGGATTATGAAGACGTCGACGTCTGGAGGGAAGCACGGTATCAACTGGAAAGTTAGGACGCAGCTGGACGATCTGGACTTCGCACATGACCGGGCTCTTCTATCTCACACGCAACAACAAATGCAAGAGAAGACGACCATTGTAGCAGCAGCCTCTGCAGCAGTAGGTCTCAACATACATAAAGGGAAAAGCGAAATTCTCTGATGCAACACAACATGCACCAAACAAATCACTCTTGATGGAGATGCCTTGGAGGACGTTGACAACTTTACATATCTGGGCAGCATCATCGACAACCAAGGTGGATCGGATGCAGATGTGAGGGCGCGGCTCGGCAAAGCAAGAGCTGCATTTCTACAGTTGAAAAATATCTGACACTCCTAACAACTTTCAACCAAAACCAACATCAGTATTTTCAATACAAATGTGAAGACAGTTCTACTGTATGGAGCGGAAACATGGAGAACTACGAAAGCCATCATTCAGAAGATACAAGTGTTTATTAACAGTTGTCTACGCAAAATACTTCGCATTCGTTGCCCAGTCTCCATCAGCAACAACGTACTGTGAGAGAAAAGAAACCAGATTCCAGTGGAGGAGGAGGAAATCAGGAAGAAGTGGTGGAAGTGGATAGGACACACACTACGAAAAGCACCTAACTGCGTCACTAGACAAGCCCTCACATGGAACCCTCAAGGCAAAAGGAAAAGAGGAAGGCCAAGGAACACATTACGCCGAGAAATAGAGAAGGATATGAGAGGAATGAACAAACATTGGACAGAATTGGAAAGGGAAGCCCAAGACAGAGTTGGTTTGAGAAAACTGGTGGGCGGCCTATGCTCCATTGGGGATAACAAGCGTAAGTAAGTAAGTAAATATCGGTCCAATCATACTTATGGTAAGTTGAAAATTAACTTTCCCTAGAAGAAATTTAGTTGATATTTGTATATATACTGGATGATAATTTTTGCAGTTCACCAAGTATGAGACATACTAATAAAGAAAGCAGATTCAAACAGTTCAAAACTATTTGAATCAGTTTTAACCTGGTTGACTTTCTTTTAATGTTACTTACTGATTCGGTTGTTGCTAAATACACCTCTGAAATTATTGATGAGTTTCAAAGAAACATGTGTTTAAAACTAACATGAAATACGAAACATCCAACTTTTACCTTGATTGTTTAAATAGTCAATGGAAGGAGCTCGTAACATGAAATATTCTATATGAACTGAAAATCCTTACACTACTACTATTTTAGGTATCAGTAATGGGCTTCGCAGATGATCTAACTCTTCTATCCTACGGGTAACAATAAATCCAAGTAAAGATGACCAATGTTGCAGTAACCTCTGAAGCAGCAGGTTTCAACATACACGAAGAAAAATCAAGATCTTTTGATGCCACAACACTACATGCACTAACCAAATTGCACTTGATTGAAGAGCTTCAAAAAATGAGTAACCTTTTACATATCTGGGCAGTATCATTAATTAAGAAGTTACATCTGAAGACAATGTGAAGGATCGGATCAGCAGAGCAAGGAAAGCATTTCTATAAGTGAAGAACATCTGCAACTTGAAACAACTGTCAACAAATATCAAAGTTGTAATTTTTAGTATAAATAACAAGACAGTTCTGTTGTATGGGGTATAAACTTGGAGAATCACGAAAGCCATCATCTAGAAGATACAGCTGTTTACGCAAAATACTTCATATCTGTTGTCCAGACGTAGTGTGGGAGAGAACAAACTAGATTATTAGGGAGGAAGAAATCAAGAAGAAGAGGTGGAAGTGGATAGGACACATAATGAGGAAATCATGCAACCACGTCACAAAACATGCCCTCATCTGTAATCCTTAGTGTTAAATGAAAAGTTTTTAGTTCAACTAAAATCAAAACATGACGTTTTTATGATTATTATTATTATTACTGTGGTGTGAGCTACTTATAAGTAGTAGTATATGACGTGAGTGTCAACGTTATGTCTGGCAGCCGAAGATGGGGGGAAGATCAAGAAAGGAAGAGTTACAACACAATGGAATTTGTATGAAACGCATGAATAGTAGTGACAATGGATTGATGTTTTGCAACAGAAACAGTCCAGTTCCATATGATGAATTGATATTTTGCAAATGAACGATTTACGATATGGTTTTCCTATTTTACTGAGTAACTCGGTAATTTTCGTTAAATACAATTCGGTTGCCCCACCTGTGTTCTCGTTCTTTACATTACTAGTATACTAACTGTTGCTACTGAAAGACTGATAAATATATTTCAGAGACTTCTATCAAGATCTAGGACATTGGAACCAAACTATCCCGAAAGTTATTTAAGTAAGAAAATATTAGTCTTTCAATAAGAGTTATGGTCTGTTACGCCTGCACGTAAACACGTCAACTTGATATACTTGAACTATTGCGAGTTTACCCTAGTCGGAAAACGAGAGCGAGGATCGAGGATCCGGCGACATGACATGCTACTACAATCTGATTATCCCAACCCCCATATTTAGTGAAAATAAGAAGACGTGATATGAAGTAGAACCTGTATTCTACAAGCATCCAGAAAGTACGAGGTCCGAGTCAAGAAGAGAATCAGGATCCCGGACTAGGGATCCAGGACCGGGTCCTGGTCATAAAACGTTACAGATAATGCGTATTTATACATTTTGGTCGAATAGGAAACAGCATCGAAGTCTGTGACATTGACAGTTAAGACGACGAATAGGAAGCAACATTTGAAGTGACATTGATAATCAGGACAACCATAAAATTGACCAGTAGGGATTAACCAATTATTCTCTCAGGATATTGGATGAATATCCTAACAGGTCATCAGAGTGTTTGCACATTGAAATCATCAGTCAATCATTGTTAGTCCACCATTAAAAACCTGGAAGCATTGGATGGCCATTTCGTCCCGGTAAGGGACTCATCAACAGGGCGCATCCACAACCTCCTGCTACTAGCTGCAACCAGACCCAGGACCTTCGGTCTTGCGCACCAACGCCTAACCTCTGAACCACTGAGCTAGCCGATGTCCAACGGTGTCCATGTCCTACCTACTCTGATCAATCTAGAGAAGCACACTGAGGACAGACAAGTCCCATACCAGGACGAAACAGCCATCGTCCAGTGCTTCCAGGTTTTTAATGGTTGTCTAACAATGATCGATTGATGGTTTGAATGTACAATACCAATAAAAATTCCTTCAAATTTCAACATTTTCTCTCCTAATTCACTATTTTCCGTTTTTTTATTTTTATTAATTCAAACAGATCATTGATATGATTGTATTGGATATACGTAAATTGAAAGTGAATCGATCTTTCAATACAGCCAGCACTACTGCTACTACTAAGTCAACAGCTTTTCAACAAATCAATATCAGTAGTAACAAGATGACTACGCAATGTTTGAGTCATTGGTGTAAACAATTAAGAAGTTATTCATTGACGCGAGATTCAATTATTGTAGGATTATTGAATCGAAAATGGTGAGTTATGATTATTATTATTATTAGTTAAGCATTTTTTTAGTTTATTCCACGACTTTTTCTTTTCTTCATTGTGGTGGAGTTTCATTCTTTCTGAACTGAATGTTTTGGTTGTGAAGAGTTTTCATTGGTTCTTCTGAACTATAACATCATCAGTAAGTAGTACAAACTTCAGATAGCAGAAGTGAAGAAGTATTCGAATTTTTCCACGCGTTTGACCTGTAGCTTATTCTGCTAACTTCGCTATCTTGATTGGTTGTTGTTGACCTTAAACTTATCGTTGCCTGCATTCTTATTTTGACTGTAGCCTCCTTTCATATAGTTTCTGATCCTATGTTAGTTTACAGTTTTTCTGATTGGTTGATAAATTGGGTCAATGTCGATGTGTTTTTTTTGATTGCTGATTGACTTGAGTGCTAAGGTCCTAAAAATTCTCTAGTGTTCTCTAGTGTCCTCCTCCTATCCAGTATTTCCACGTTGTTCTAATCGAATGAATGTCCATAATTGTCGGTAGGTATTGATATAAGCGAAGCGTTGTCGTGGTGTTTGACTGCTAACTGGTGTTCACGTAAACAAACCTGAAGAGGCTGTCCACTTTGTCCTCCGTAGTGTTTTTCACAATCTGAGCAATTTATTTTGTACACGATATTTGGTTTTTCTTCCTTTGTCATTTTGTCGTTTGGTCTACATAAGATTGATTGAAGTGGCTCTGTTGGTTTGTGTGGCACACCTATTCCAAATGGTTTCATTAGTCGTGATGTAATTTCCAACATATGGCAGGATGATGCGTTCAGTTGGTTTCCTGTACTTGATTTCGCTTCTGTTGATGATTTCACTTGATATTTTTAAATGAAGTTGCGTGGTTAGCCGTTCGCATGGAAGACAGTCATCATCATCGTCACTCACTATCCAACTATCTGAATGTTTGTCATTAGGTATTGTGTAATTCTAGTTTTCCCAAATCATTTGACCTACTTCCTATGGTGAAACATTAATTCATGGCGTTTATTATACCTTATCATATAACTAGTACATCTGTCATCAGACTTCTTTAATTCACTGTTATCACTGATTGAAAAAATTTGCTTTGATTAATTCTTCTCATAACTATCATATATGCATCAAAATATCAGAGTATATTCGAAAGAGAATGAAAAGCCTGATGAGGCTTTACTTGAAAACAACACTATTATTCACATATTTCGATCAAAGTATGTTTATCCACAACCTCATTCAGCTGCTGTCGTCGGTGATCACGACGATCTTATTATCTTTTGATAGAACAGTGAGAAGACGTAATTGATCTGAAAAATGTGATGTATTTTACGTCTTCTCACTGTTCTATCAAAATTTATAAAAGGGACTAATTGTTTTAGATCTTATTATCCACATCAGAGTATGAGATGGTGGGGAATATTTGTAGCTCAAGCGGCGGTTGTTGATTATGGTGGTGTTTCGTACTCTCTGAGCTGGATATTTTGGTTGTGAAACTGTAGTAAATGAGAACACAAGTGGGGCGACCGGATTGTATTGTACTGAGTTACTCAGTAAAATCGGAAAACCATATCGTAAATCGTTCGTTAATTTGCAAAATATCAGTCCATCATCATATCGAACTGGACTGTTCCTGTTGCAAAACATCAATCCATTGTCACTCACTATTCATGCGTTTCATACAAATTCCATTGTGTTCTAACTCTTCCTCCTTTCTTGATCTTCCCCCATCTTCTGCTGCCAGACATTACGTTGACACTCACGTCATATACTACTTATAAGTAGCTCGCAACACATTATCTGTGTTCTTTTTTTTGTTAATTCAAAAGTATAATTTCAATGGAATTAAGTGAATTTTCAAGTAAAAATAAATAAATGCATTTTATCACACAGACAATCAAAATAAACAAAAGTACATGTAACTTTTTAGGTTTATTTGTTGAAGAATAAACACATTTTATGAGTGAGTGAGTGAGTGAGTGAGTGAGATAGAGAGTGACAGAGTGAGAAGATACAAAGTTTGGTGTAGAGTGATGTGAATTCGTTTTGGTTTTTTTTGATTTCAACTAGATTCTGTTCATCAGTTAATGATGATAAGCAGCTATAAAGTTTTAAAACATTTTTTTTCAGCAAAAAAAATTTATATCATCATAGAAATCGATATATTTATATGTATAAAGTTGATTAGAGATGCGTATATGAATCGTGATGTTGTGAAGTTTTCAATAAAGTTTATTGAGATCACTGTTAGACTAAAACCATTAGAAATCTGGAAATATTTAAAGGCTTTTTGGTTATATTTTGGGGCAGAGTTTTGAAGGTTTGCATTTTTACACATTTGAAATCATCAATCAATCATTGTTAGACCATCATTAGAAACCTGGAAGCACTGGACTGCCGTTTCGTCCTGGTTTCGGACTCATCAGCAGTGCGCATCCACGACTCCTACTCCTTGCAGGATCCGAACCCGGGACCTTCGGCATAGTAGGCGAACGCCTTACCATCGGACCACTGGGTCGGCATCCAATGGTGGTAATGTTTAACTCTGATTGATCTAGGGATTTCGCGCCACCTCACCCATTTGTCTTTGGTAGTTACTGCCTACACACGACCGGGTTGAACTCCATTGGTCACGTCTTCTCAACTAGAACTCCGAGAATTTCCTCACGAAGCTAGTCACTAGTGAGCACTGTTACGATATTTTGGTGCAGAGTTTTGGAGTATGTGTAGGATCCAAACAGAGGTTTGTTATGAGGAATAACTGTCTAGGTAGATTAGATACGCGCTTTCGCTCAGTTTAAAAACCAAAATCAAGTGATTTGGGTAAATGAGGGTTCTAAACAAATACTACCACTCAGTTATTTCACCAGCGATTGTTCAATTAATCAAATCCACAACAGCAACAAATACATGTTATTCTACCCCTCCTGGATAGATTAGATTCGTTCGACAGATAATATTTGGTTGCTTTATAACACAGAGTGTTTCCACTTCTGGAAGAGTGCTTCAATTCACAATCAAAATGCACAATTCCAGTCAAATCAAGCAACCGACACAATCAAAAGAGGAAAAAATCAATATGGCTGTCGCCATGACTAAGAGTCAGCTTAAACAACATCAATGCAGTTCAGAATGAAACATGGAAACTCAGTGAAGGCAAAAGAAATAGAAACTATAAAAAAATATAAATATTATCAACTCCAAAATGGAATCGAACAGACTAAAAAAAGGGACAATTGAACGAATCAATACGGACAAATTACGGATGTATGCATGGGGGGGATTTTCACAAACAAAGCCTTCAAAGAAATGGATCTGATAGTATGGGATCCATCAGCAGTGCGTATCCACGAACCAGGTACTGTGGATTCGAACTTGGGATCGCAGTCTGTTGACCAGTTAGCCGACATCACTTCAATCAATACATGGTATTGCGTGGCCTCTCATTGTCTTCGGTGGATTAAGGTTAGTTCGAAGCCCACTAGTCATGGCTTATCACACGAACCAAGAGAATTACTCCTTCTACAAGATATGAGGTTCTAGGTCACGAGAAGCTTTATCACAGGGAATGGATCTTTGTGGATACTTTGGATTCAAAATTCAAGAAGGGTAGAACAAGAAGCCAAGAATCAATATCTTCCGAAAATGAGTGGGGAAAATCAAGCTACATGTAAAATATACACAAGCAAATAAAAATTGGTGATAAGCATCAGAGTTGATAACCGAAAAAATGTAAGAGATCTAGTGGTAATGATAGTAGGAAAACGCTGCCACAGGAGGAAACATGTAACAACTATATGATACATCGAAGAAGCTTGCTGAAAAATTTCACAAGCCAAAACGAATAGTCATGAATAAGGAGTGTGTTGGGGATGTTAGATCCCCAGAACTCACTTGATAAAGGTCCTAATTTTGGATTTTATGTTTTCGAGCATGGGTTGATCAGTTGACTTTGAGATTACAATTCACACCTGGAAATCCTTGACTGTTATTGGTTGATGTGTTATTTTAGTACGCTATTTTTGTGGCTCTCGCAAGGACGTTTCTATCATGTATTGATAAACTTGATTTGTGTGCTTGGAAAACCTCATATTTTCTGGGTATTTGTAGAATACACTTTCTACGCCATAACAAGACTTTTTGATATCGTTAGCAGGGCCGATCGTGTTACTGGATCATTTTGTCTTCTCTCTCGTTCACCTAGTAGGGTGAACTCCTAATAGTTTTTAGCACATTAGTTGACGAGCAAATCAGAATTAAAAACCACTCATTGACGTACAAGAACAACGAAGCACTTGGGTAGAGCTCACCTATCATATTTAACCGAATCGATACCGAATCGACACAAGATAATATTGACTTAAATCATGTCATGTGGTAGCTAACCCCATGACCAACTTGCTTTTTTATCTGGACATGGAACCGGCAGTAGCCCCAGTGCGGCTCTAGACGGAGTTTGTATCTCATTATATTAAAGGTACATTTCATGATGGTCAGTATTTTTTCTGTCCCGTATCATCAGTAATATAACCTATTCATTTCTATTAGTTGGCTGTAGAGGTTTGAGTCTCCGAAATTGTTGTGGACGTAAGATAAACCCAGAACTTGCTAGATGAATGCCTCAATTTGGATTTCATGTTTGCTAGCATGCGCTGATCAGCTGACCTTGAGATTTCATTTCCCAACAGGAAACTCTTTGGCTGTGATTGGCTGCTGTATATTTTAGTGTGCTATTTTGGTGACTGCCCCAAGGACGTTTCCATGATGTATAAATAAATGAGGGTTGTGCGCTTGATTGTATTGTGCTTGCTGGGTGTTTGTAGAATATACTTTCTACGCTACATCAAGACTTCTGTTTTGTCGTTTTCGGATCAAGGTAGCCTACCTGAACGCTGGTTCATTGTCTCGTTCACGTTTATCGACTAAGGTGAAATCGTAATAGCTTCAAGCGTTCCTAGTGCAGATAAATCTGTCTAGGATTATTTTGTCTAATTTTAACAATATGCATATCTAAAAATATTCTTGATATATGATGAATGTTTCATTCGATATTTGGATGGAATGAATCTATTTCTAATTTATTGTATTCCATTTTTCAGTTCTGTTGATCAAAGAAAACTACTCATGAATAAAGCTTTAAAAGCTGGTTGTAATAAGGTAAGCATAACATTGGTTACGTCATTTGGTTTGTTTTACTTTCATCTTGTTTGGCTACTTTTTAAATCCCCTTAAAATTAGAAAGAATGAGGGGTTTTAAATTGTTTTATCAACAAAGTCTCTTGAATCGTTAAAATCACGAATTGATTTTAGCTAGACTGGTTCGGCGTTCACAAGTGAGACTGATGGTCTTGAGTTGTTGTGGGGACTCACACACACATATCGCTGATAAGTCTCATACACGTAAGGATCAGCAGTTCATTGGTCTCAGATTCCCAGTGGTAACCTAGCATTGGTCGATTTGATAATTTTCGATAAAAAGCAATGTATATTTACAATGTGCCATTGATGAATTTTAAAAAAAGGTTTAATCTATTCCGTTTCATGTCTTGTTACTAGAAAGACAAGAATGAATGAATTATCTGATAACATTCTTCCTTTAGCTACAGTCAATTCGTGAAAAATAATCAATAAAACTGAATTGTTATCTAAAAAGTAGACAAACTTTGTGTGTGTTTGTGTACTACGTGTGCGTCGTGATATTGATTTGGTACACTACTGAAACATCCCATAAATAATCAATATTTTCCCGTTTAAATCGCCGTTAAAGAAGTTTGATTATTAGATCCTATAACTATTTTTTATTGTGCCCAAGAATCAATCGTTATGCGACCACCATTCGGAAACCTAGAAATATTAGACTGCCGTTTTGTCATAGTGCGGACACGATCAGCAGTGTGTATTCATGAATCTAGGACCTCTGGCATCGCAAACGAATGCTGAACCTCTAGACCATTGACTCGGTATCCACTGGTGTTATTGTTTAACTTAAACCAATCAATAATATTGCGCAGCCTCACCTGCGAGTAGCAGAAGTAGTGACCACTTCAAACTGCTTATGAGTTTCATACTAGGATGAAACGGTCGGCCAGTGCTTACAGGTTTTTAATGATGGTCTAACGATGACCATCGTTAGCTCGATATACCTGCATATCCTAGAGTTGATTTCCGTTTCGATGCTCAAACCGTTGTACCGTTTACTACAAATGCGCTATACATACGCACACTCCATCTGAGTGTGATCTAACATATTGTTCAGGTGTATAAACCGAACCAGATAATTTTTTTAGGTCACCACTCCATAAGCATTTGATCTAAAAGGTGTATTCCACAAGGCAGCGGAGCAATGCCAGAAGATGCCGTCGTCTGATAAACACTGACTATCCTGTAACTAAAGTTCACCAATGGTTTAGAATCACAGTTTTGCAAATGACCTTTATGGATCCCCCACAACTACCAACCCAGTTGAATCACATGGAATTCATTTGGAAAATATGTAAACCTTTACATTATTTTGGCAGTACCATTGATAAACAAGTTACATCTGAAGCAGTTGTGAATGCATGGATTGACAAAGCAAGGATTACATTTCTACAATTGAAGAACATCTTCAATTCGAAACAACTGTCAACCAATAGAAAAGTTATAATTTTTAATATAAATGACAAGACAGTTCTGCTGTATGGGGCGTAAACATGGAGAACCACGAAAGTCATCACACAAAAGATAGAGTTGTTTATTAAAAGTTGTCTACACAAAATACTTCATATCCGTTGTCCAGATACCATCAACAATAACCTAGTGTGGGAGAGAACTAACCAGATTACTGAGTAGGAAGAAATCAGGAAGAAGGGGTGTAAGTGTGGTTAGTTCACATATTGAGAAAATCATCCAACCACGTCACAAGACAAACCCTCACTTGAAAGTCTCAAGACTGAAAGAGAGAATAGGGAGATCAAATAACACATTGCGCAGAGAATGGAAGAATGAATAACAACTGAGATGAACTGTAAAAGCAATCGGCGGACAGAGTTGGTTGAAGACTGGTGGTAGTTAGTGGCCTATGCTCCATTAGAAGTAAATAAGTGATATTCACTCGAGAAAACCAGTCTGGTTTTCGACCTGGACGTGATTGTATAGATCACATTTTCACACTAACGACAGGTCCTGGAACACAGATACACATTTAGGCTTCGTACAATAGTCGTGTTCCTGGACCTAAAAGCGGCATTCCGCTCAGTAGATCTTGAGGTTCTGTGGCAGTGTCTGCCATTGAAAGGTGTACCAAAGAAGTACATTAACCTCATACAAGCTCTCTACTCGAACACTACTGGTCGAGTGAGAGCATATGGCGAACTGACATTTGATTTCTCTACATCAAGTGGTGTCCGTCAAGGATGTCCACTCTCCCCATTCTTGCTTAACTTTGTCGTAGACATCCTCTTAGGGTTAATAGTAAGCCCGTCAGATTTTTCAGGGGTTGACCTTCTACCAGGAAAATTGCTTAGTGATCTAGAACATGCCGATGACATAGTCCTAGTTGGTGAAGACGCTGACAAAATGCAGAGTCTTCTGACCACCCTAAGCAACAATGCAAGCAATTTCGGGATGCGGTTTTCCTCCTCGAAATGCAAAATGTTGCTTCAAGATTGGGTTGCATCGGCACATGAACTAGTGCTAGGGAGTGAAGTAGTCGAGCGTGTAGACCGCTTCACTTATCTTGGGAGTCTCATCAGTGCTGATAGCCTGATGACTGACGAAATCTCAGCACGGATACAGAAAGCTCGATTGGCTTTAGCCAACCTGCGTCACTTATGGCGTAGGCAAGATATCCGTTCGCTGACCAAAGGACGAGTGTACTGCGCAGCGGTTCGTTCCGTTCTCTTATATGGCTGTGAAACATGGCCAGTGAGAGTAGATGTTCGTAGATTACTAGTATTCGACCATAGATGTTTAAGAAGCATTGCTTGTATATCCTGGGACACCCGAGTGAGCAACGCTGTTACTAGGAATCGGGTGCTAGGTAAGAATGGCAGATCAGTAGATGAAGTAGTGAAACTTCACCAGTTGAGGTGGTTGGGACATGTGTTACGTATGCCTAACCACCGACTGCCTCGACGAGCTATGTTTTGTGGTGTAGGAGTAGGTTGGAAGAAAGCTAGGGGCGGCCTGACCAAAACGTGGCAGAAATCCATTAAATCACTGACTAGTGGACTGAGTCATGTTGGTAGATGTGGGTTACCTGATTAGGGTCCGCGAGACGAAAGTCATCAATGGTTAGAGACCTTGAACGATATGGCTCAGAATCGTTTACAATGGCGCAAGTGCATCCATTCTTTGAGCTCTCTCAAATCCTAATCTTCTGGAATCGTCAGCACCTCTACCTTTGTCTTTCTAACCTTATCTCACTGAATTATACTTCTTGAATAATATCTTCAAACCCTAGTCTTCTTCATTACCATTAATACCTCTACTATCTATATCACAATGGGATTTGATTTGACATTTGCGTCTCTGTGCTAATAATGTGGTATGGCAACATGAACTGATGTACATACGTACGTAGTTCTACGTTGCAACTGACTGACCGAAATAAGTGATATTCAGCCAACGAGTCCTAAACAGAATCAAATGAACTCATTTGATTCTTCTGTTAACCAGTAAAAAACAATCACTGTTTGTTAATTAATGATAGTAATAATCATATCGAAACAATCAGCTGCGTATGTACTGAATGATTTTAATCATGCCTGAAAAAGATAAATATATTTCAACCTTCCACATCATTATTTCTAGATTTCTCTTTTTCTTTCCGCTTATTTCATTTTAATAGGCCTGTAAATTTCACCTTATGAGGTTAACCTCATTTTGTTTGTACAAAAGTTTAATCAGAGTAATAAAGTAAAAGTACAAAAAACAGAAGTAGTTTGTTTGTTCTTGTTAATTTTCTGCCCCCTATTTACTATACTTTCTGTTACATTCATTTCAAATACGCTCTCTCTCTCTCTCTTTATATATATATATATATATATATATATATATATATATATATATATATATATGACCTTGATGTGACTTTTCATTTGTGTCAAACAAGGATAATGAAAACCGTAGTTAAATCTATAACTGGTTTTTCTTCAATCTATACTATTTATTATATGCATTGCGGGGTTGTTGTGAAGATTGTTAAGTTACACTTTTTTTTGAAACCATGAATCGATCAATGTTAGACCACCACCATTGGCAAACCTGGAAGCACTGGACGACGGCCGTTTCGTGGTCCTGGTATGGGACTCATCAGTGGCAGTGCGCATCCATGACTCCTGCATCCCGTAGGAGTTCAATAGTCAATTGTTCATGTTAAATGATAAATAGCTTCAAACAATTGAATAGTATTAAACTGATAGTGTAGTGAGAAGCTTTAGATTTTCTGAATAAGGAAGGGCGATTATAGAAATTATTGAATGTCAGTCAGTCAGATGCAACGTAGAACTTCGTACGTAAGTACATCAGTTCATGTCGCCATACCACATCAGCACAGAGATGTAATTGTCAATTCAAATCCAATAGTAGAAGAGGTAGTAAAGGCATTGGAACTTTCTTCCAACCTATTCCTACACTACAAAACAAAGCTCTTCGAGGCAGTCGGTGGTTAGGTATACGCAACACATGTCCCAACCACCTCAACTGATGAAGTTTCATTACTTCATCTATTGATCTGCCATTTTTACCTAGCACGCGATTCCTAATAACAGCGTTGCTCACTCGGGTGTCCCACGATATACGAGCAATGCTTCGAAGACACCTATGATCGAAAACCAATAACCTGCGAATATCTTCTACTCTTAACGGCCATGTTTCACAGCCATAAAGTAAGACGGAGCGAACTGCTGCACAGTACACTCGTCCTTTAGTCAGCAAACGGTTATCTCGCCTACGCCATAAGTGACGCAGGTTGGCAAAAGCTAATCGAGCCTTCTGTATCCGCGCTGAGATTTCGTCAGACACCAGGCCATCAGCACTGATGAAACTCCCAAGATAAGTGGAGCGGTCTACACGTTCGACTACTTCACTCCCTATCCCTAGTTTAGGTGCCGATGCAACCCAATCTTGAAGCAACATTTTGCATTTTAGTCAGTCTTAGATGATATTCAATGGAATATATCACAATTGTATAGATGAATTCATTATTTGTGTCGTCAGCTACAACGTAGCACTTCGTATGTAGTTGGAAATTATTATTAGAAATGTTTGGATCTAGGCTTCGTGTTAATTCACACTTATCATTGGCAAGATATTTCTTGAATTGTGAACGATATGAAGCTTTTCACAATATAGGTCTATATGCCTGAATTCCAAGTGTGTTGAGTGTGAGGCATTAACCCACTGAAGATAATGGATGGCGGTCACATAATATCGTGTGGTGATTGAAGTTTGATAGTAAGACGATTGGATCCCGAGCTCAGTGGTTCAGAGTTTTTAGGCGTCCACATGGGAAGGGAGACTGAAGGATGGGATGTGACGGTCATGGATACACACAATGTCGATGCGTCCCATATATATTAGGACGGAACGCGTCCATATAGTGCTTCTAGGTTTCTACTGCTGGTGGTCTAATCATGATTCATTCAAAGTTAAAACATAAATCTTAGTTCCAGAACTGGTGAACCTTTGTATTTAATCGTATATAAAACATAAAAAACCCCAAAAAGCAATCGCTTTCTCTAAATTCAATTACAAAATCGTATGGAATATAGTGCTTATTAGAAATTGCTACCAGAGAGAGAGGATTATGACATGAGCAATGTATTGTAAAGACCAAAAGATATGTAACAGAATACAGTCAATAACTTGTTTTGGATTTTAAATGGATAACTGATGACTGTGTTTATGTTTCGTAAACTGTCTTCACTCTATATATCTTTGTTACGTCCTTGAATCGACTGTTATTACTGCACAGGAAACAATTTTATTTCAATCTATTTTAGAGGCCTTGATGCGATAGTCCATCGAGTTGACCTTGAAACAGGTAGCAAGCAAGTGAGTTCGGTCATGACTAAATGACCTTGGCAAATGATAAGAAACTATGCTTTTCTCGGATAGGCTAGCTAGCGAGAGACAGAGAGAAAAAAGGAGACTAATAAACTGGGACACTACTTCATTTATTCCTGATCCGATTAACTAGAAAAAAAGATGCACAGCGCACAAAGATTTGGAGACATTCAATTATCCCCAAACTTACCTTTTAGGTTAGGAAATTAAATTATGAGGTCTACGTCTAAGTTATATTAATTTTGAAAATAAAACAGAGTATGACACTGAATCATAAATTAAATGAAAGCCTGAGAATAATCAGAAAATGATTTTAATTTTAGTTAGTAGAACGTGAGAGTATTCTACTGATAAGTCTGTTAAATGAATGCAAGTTTTAATTTCCTAGCCGCTTCTAAGAAAAATCCCATACCAAATCTACACTGCAACGTGAACACAAAAGAAAAGGCGTGAACTATGTAGAGAACGCGCTTTGCTCCTGTTAGTTAGTTTAAGAACAGGAAAATGAGGGTATTTGTGGGGTTACCCATGACCTTGATGTTCTTTTAGAGAGTCGTTTGATCAGTCAGTCAACTACAACGCAGAACTTCGTATGTATATACGTTAGTTCACTTCGCCAAATCACATTCCATAGTGGTAGATGTAGTAGAAATATTAGGGATCGAAGATATGATTGGAGAGACACATAATTCAGCGAAATAAATTAAGAAACAGAGAAAGATAAAGGTGATGAAGAATTCAAAAGATCAGGATTTAAGAGAATACAAAGAATGGATGCACCTACATCACTCGCTGTAAATGATTTTGAGCTATATCACTCAAAGTCTCATAGCCATCGGTTACTGTCGTCTCGTGGACCCTAACCAGGTTCGAGAACCATACTAAATAGAGTAGTTGTATGGTTAAATATTCAGTGAAAATCGTGGAGTATTATTCTAGCTGTTCCAGACGTTTCTCCATGCAGTTGATTCAGTACTCATTAGATCTAATGTTTCATGGCGTTTCTTGGGCATATGAAAACTTTTATGATGAATATTTTTGGGGACTGCTCTAATATATACCTTTTTGATTGATTAAAATTTCTGTTAATACCTCGATTATATATTTCTTTGAAATACAATGTCAATGTTCAGAGTTACTCAGTAAAATTGGAAAACCATATCGTATATCGTTCATTTGCAAAATATCAGTCCATCATATCAAACTTGACTGTTCCTGTTGCAAACAACATCAATCGATTGTCACTATTCATGCGTTTCATACAAATTCCATTGTGTTCTAACTCTTCCTTTCTCTTGATCTTCCCCCATCTTCTGCTGCCAGACATTACGTTTACACTCACGTCATATACTACTTATAAGTAGCTCACACCATATATATATATACCATTTTATATGATTCCCTTTTTTTTAGTGTATTTTTGAAACATCCACCGTAGATGATTTTGTTGAAGAATTAAAAAATTTTGCTAATAATGAATGGAAATTATTAAATCAAATACGTAATTTCACATGTACTAACAGTATGACTGTTAATGATACCACCGAGTATGATAATAATAATAACTCACTAATGAAAACAGCATCAGCAGTCGCTACAAAGACAACGATCACTAATGTGAACTCGGATAATACTGTTTTCAGTACAGAATTCACAAACATTCAATCAAAAGCTAAATTATCTGAGGTAAGTAGGTATTAACATAACTTGAACCAATTATAATTTTGTTTTGATTGATTCAAATTTGAAAAAAATGTTCAAAATTCAATTTTTTTTTGTTTGTAATTCTTTTCTAATAATAATAATAAGTTTGGTTTAAGCAATGAAACAGTAGCAATCAACTTTTTGCAAACATGAATGCTAATTATAGAGAATTTCGCTATTCAATACAGTCAGTCAGTCAGTCAGATGCAACGTAGAACTTTGTACGTAAGTACATCAGTTCATGTTGCCTCACCTTATCAGCACAGAGATATAATTTTCAATTCAAATCCAATAGTCGAAGAGGTAGTAAAGGTATTAGAAGTAATCGGAGAGGTTAGAATTAGAAGATATTATTCACGAAGGTCTCTAACCATCGATTATTATCATCTTGCGGACCCCAACCAGGTAGTCGACACCTACCAACATGACTCAGTCCACTTGTCAATGACTTCATGGATTTCTGCCATGTTTTGGTTTGGCCACCCCTAACTTTCTTCCAACCTGTGCCTACATCGCAAAACAAAGCTCGACGAGGTAGTCGATGGTTGGGCATACGCAACACATCTCTCAACCACCACTTCAATTGATGAAGTTGGCGGAATATATGCTGAATAAACTGAATGATTATTATTATAATTATGATTGAACTTTCTTCTTTTTTGTTTTATAGATTTTACCAAAACATGAATATAATTTACCAATCACATCAGAGATTCGACAATCGACAACAATCAATGAATCATTGGATCATGATGAAATATCAACAGTGGATGAATTAAAAGCCAATGTTATTGATTCAGTCACTGTGTTACATGAACAAGGAAAGTAAGTTTAAGTTGTTTTTTTGTGTAAAGAGTTTTTTTATCTCAGATTTCAAATGATCAGTGATATTTTAGTTACATGTTCTATGTGTGCTTCATTTTGCGGGTAGTTAAGAGATTTTCCCGGATTCTAAATTCCGGTCGTTCTGATATCGAGCAAGACCGAAGTACCGAGGTTCAGATCCTGAGAGTTGTAGGAGTTGTGGATGCGCACTGCTGATGAGTCATATACAAGAGTGAGGCTAAATATGGTACATCAGTATCTAGTCAATCTCTTTGTTTTGTAGTGTAGGAGTAGGTTTGAAGAAAGTTAGGGGCGGACAAATCAAAACATGGCAGAAATTCATGAAGCCATTGACGAGTGGATTTAGTCATGTCGGTAGTTGTCGACTACTACCTGGTTGGGGTCGGCGAGACGACTAACTCTTCTAACATTCATTTATCACAGTGCACAGCTAATGCAGGCGATGCGAGTTCGCGAAACGTCGTTCCTGGTCTCCTTAAACCCCGCTCTAGAATCGGTGGTTAGAGACCTTGAATGACATGGCTCAAAATCGTTCGCAGTGGCGCCGGTGCATTTATTCTTTGTGTTCTCTCAAATTCTTATCTTCTGGTTTCTTCGACTCTGTAAACTTTTTCCACTGAATCATACATATTGAATAATATCTTCTAATCCTAATCCCTCCGATTACTTCTAATACCTTTACTACCTCTTCTACTATGGTGGTATTTGAATCCACAATTACATCTCTGTGCTGATGTGGTATGGCAACATGAACTGATGTACTTACGTACGAAGTTCTACGTCGCATCTGACTGACTGAGTCAATCTCTTATGCGGTAGAAATATGTGGTAATGGAGAAATACGAAAAAACAGCTTTTAACATTGATCGATTCATGATTCTTAAAAAGTAACTCAACAGTCTCCACAACTCTTCTATGCAAATTATCATGTTCTCACTAGTAACTAGCTCCGTGAGGAATCTTCTCCGAGTTTTACCGAGAAGTACGATAGTGAATGAGGTGGTTCATGACCGTGGATTGATCACAGTTAGACATTAACACCGTTAGATACTGGATCAGTGATCTAGAGGTTAGGCATTCGAGCTCAAAACCGTAGGTCCTAGGTTTGCATCTTCATACATTAAAGTTAGGGTTTGAGTTACTCATAAGAACAAGCCACTTAGTCAGTCAGTCAGTCAGATGTGACGTAGAACTTCGTACGTAAGTACATCAGTTCATGTCGCCATACCACATCAGCACAGAGATGTAATTGTGGATTCAAATCCAATAGTAGAAGAGGTAGTAAAGGTAGTAGAAGTAATCGGAGAGGTTAGGATTAGAAGATATTATTCAAGAAGTATGATTCAGTGAGAAAAGTTTAGAAAGTCAAAAGTAGAGGGTTTGAAGAATCCAGAAGATTAGGATTTGAGAGAACACAGAGAATAAATGCGCTGGCGCCATTGCAAACGATTTCGAGTCATGTCATTCAAGGTCTCTAACCATCAATTATTATCATCTCGCGGACCCCAACCAGGTAGTCGACAACTACCGACATGGCTAAGTCCACTCGTCAATGATTTCATGGATTTGTGCCACGTTTTGGTTCGGCCGCCCCTAGCTTTCTTCCAACCTACTCCTACACTACAAAAGAAGGCTCTACGAGGCAGTTGGTGGTTGGGCATACGCAACACGTGTCCCAACCACCTCAACTGGTGAAGTTTCAATACTTCATCGATTGATCTGCCATTTTTAACTAGCACCCGATTCCTAATAACAGCGTTGCTCACTCGGGTGTCCCACGATATACGATCAATGCGTCGAAGACACCTATGATCGAAAACGAGTAACCTACGAATATCTTCTACTCTCACTGGCCATGTTTCACAGCCATAAAGTAAGACGGAGCGAACCACTGCACAGTACACTCGTCCTTTAGTCAGCCAATGGATATCTCGCCTACTCCATAAATGACGCAGGTTGGCAAACGCCATTTATTGCTTGGGTTTGATTCTCTAGTTAAGTCCTTTAAAAACTTTTCTCAGTTATTTTTGTTTCAAATATACATGTATTTATGAATAAAATATCTTTAGAATATGATAGACAAACCCTTAAACATGTATGTGTACAACCAAGTTCTACACAAATGTCAATTTCTATTCTGTTTATTTTTTTCAAATGTCATTATATGTTATGCTGATTGAAATTTGGAATTGAGTGTACACTTTTGTCGGTATTTGTCTTGTTTGGTTGGTACACATCATGTTTATGTTGATCATTGTTTGTTCAAGAATAAAATCCACCTCTTTTCACATCGCATTGATGTCTATAAACATGGTGAATTGGCCAATTCATCTACATATCGATCTCTTCTGAAAATACATCTCTCTCTCTGAAAACAAATTTTTTAATCAAGTTCAATTTTGATTTCAGTTATCTAAGTGTATAAAAATGAAGCAAAAAAATACAGTGTAACTTGATTCCACAATGTCAAGAAGTAAATTTTATACTCGGATTACATTTTAACTGATTGATATATAACATTATAAAGTTGTGAAGATTATTAAGTTTCTTTGAAATCATGAATCAATCAGTGTTAGACCACCTGGAAGCATTAGGTTGCCGTTTTGGTGCTTGTATGGCACTCATCAGCAGTACGTATCTATGACACCACGAAAGCATGAATTGAACCCCAGGATCTTCGGTCTCGCTCGTTCTTGAACGCTTAACCTCCTCTAGACCACTACTGAGCCAACATCTAATGGTGTTAACGTATAACCTCAATCAATCCAAAATAGTACGTGACCTACCCCATTGTTTTCGGTTAACTGCAATTGTCACGATATGTATGACTTTTATCCGATATATTAAGTACTGTTATTTTCATAAATTTTTCGACGGTGGGATGGTTGACTAATTGTTTAATGAATAACAGCAGCTATCAGTTTCTGTATAAATGAGTGTAGATATTAGTGTATACACAATAAAAAAAAAACTGTTGCAAATCTCTCTTAGTCTGTTTTCTAATGATGTAGATTGTTCAAATAAGATGTTTGAGCAGCCAGTTTTATACTACTTATATAATCAAATTTAGTAGTATCATTCAAAATATCTTATCATACATAATAAAACCCTCTGAGTAAGAAGAACATGACTGTACTGAAAATACAATCAAATTAATTCTTTTTTGTTTTCGTTAATTTACCAAACCATCATTTTAAATTTGTTCATTTTCAGAAAATTCCGTGAATTTATATCAGTTCGAAGGAGTAGAAATTCAGGTATGTGACATAATACTAATATGTAGTTTGTTATGACGTTTGAAATGATTGTTATATTGTTGAATTGATTTGTCAAGAGGGAAAATTCTTGTCCTTATCAGTTACTAGTATATTACTTACTGATGCCTGTAACTCCACGTGGAGTATAAGCAGTCCTGAGTTGGTGGAGAAAATTTGTGGTTCAGGTGGATGATTGTGGTGGTGTTCCATTCTCTCTGAGCTGGATGTTTTGGTTGTTCTTCTGAACAACATCAACATCAGCAAAAACTTCAGATAGAAGCAGTGAAGTAATCGAATTTCTCCACGTTTAACCGGTAGGTTGTTCGGTTAACCTCCATCTTGATTGGTTTCTGCTGATAGTCCACCACAAGTCTCCGATCAACTTTATCCTCCAACGTCCTTTAGTCTTGCGGATTCTAAGTCTGGGCTTACCTTACGATACAGTTGTTTGGTTTCCGTAATATGTGACTTATCCATTTCCACTGCTTCTTCCTAATTCGTTCGTCACTCGGAATCTGGTTTGTTCTCTCTCCCATAGTTGGCCTGTTGCTGATAATTTTCTCAGTTCTTCAAGTTTTCAGTTCCATACAATACAACTAACTGTCTTGAGGTTCACATTGAAAATTTCGACTATGATGTTTTATGAAAGAAAGTTGTGTTTAAGGTCTCGATTTTCCTCAGTTGTAGAAAACTGCTTGCTGCCTTCACTTTGTCAATCCATCCCTTTATATTTGCATCAGATCCAACCTGCTTGTCAATAATGATGTTGCCCAGGTTTGTAGACGTTTCCACTAGTTTGAGGGCCTCTCTATCAAGTATGATTTGGTTGTTGTTTCTTGTGACATATCTATTGATCTTACTTTTTTCCTTGTGTATGATGAGACCTACTGCTGCAAAGGTTGCTTCTATACTGGCTATCTTCTCCGCTTGTCGCTCGATGTGTAGTGGTGTAGTGAAGAAGAACACAGGTGAGGTAAAAATTACAGTGTTACTCAGTAAAATAGGAAAACCATATCGTAAATCGTTTATTTGCAAAATATCAGTTCATCATATAGAACTGGACTGTTCCTGTTGCAAAACATCAATCCATTGTCACTACTATTCATGCGTTTCATACAAATTCCATTGTGTTCTAACTCTTCCTTTCTGTTGATCTTCCCCCATCTTCTGCTCGCCAGACATTACGTTGACACTTACGTCATATACTACTTATAAGTAGCTCACACCACAGTGGGATAGAAGAGCTAGATTATCTTTGAAATACAAATCGTTCAGCTATGTCCAATCTGTCCACTGTATTCCGTGCTTCCCCTGAAGTGATGAGCTTTTCCTAATCCATGTAACCACCAGCAGAAAGAGAAAAGGTTAAGAGTAAGCTACATTTTCTGACACCGGTTTTCACTTGAAATGAGTCTGTGAGTTACGAATATGACTCCATATAAACTCCATATTTACAAACTGTCGAATATGCTATGAAATATTAACCTCTCCTTCAGCTTCTGTATATAATACCATAGATGAACCCCCTCTGTGCAATGACGCCATTAGAAGCCAGATACGGATTCAATCGGATGAGCTTATTTCAAGCAACGATTCATTCAAACTGACATGAGAATGAAAAACGTACAAGCAGAGCGAAGTGAAGTGGAGAAGGCGAGCAAGCCAACTCCATACGATAAAGTAGGACTCATCAGTATTTAAAGTCAGACAAAATAAACTAATTCTGGGTCAGTATCATTACAGAAAAGCCTTATATTATATTATCAAAAGATTTCTTAAGCTTCTCTAACTATATGTTCTTAGTTTGATATTGAGATCATCATATCGGTTAAAAAAATTCACGAAAATTAATCTATACCGATCTAATGATCCATAATCAATAATCGTCAATAGTTGTAATATGTTCTAACTGGTAGGTGTTACGCCCTGCACTTAAACACGTCAACTTGATATACTTGAACTGTTACGAGTTTACCTAGTCGGAAAACGAGAGCGAGGATCCGGTGACACGACATGTTACTCAAATCCGATTATCCCAACCCATATATTGAGTAAAAATTACAAGACTGAATATGAAGTAAAACATGTAGTCTACAAGCATCCAGAAAGTACGAGGTCCGAATCCAGAAGAGAATCAGGATCCCGGACTAGGGATCCGGGACCGAGCCCTGGTCCTGGTCGTGGTCAATAAACGTTACAGATAACGCGTATTTATACATTTTGGTCGAATAGGAAACAGCGTCGAATTCTGTGGCATTGATAGTTAAGATGACCAATAGGAAGTAACATTTGAAGTGACATTGATAGTCAGGACAACCAATCAGAAACAACTTTGAAGTATTTGACTTTGACAGTTATAACGACCATTAATTTTGACCAATAGAAATCGACCAATAGGATTTGAGCAATAATTCTCTTAGGATATTGGATGAATATCCTAACAGTAACAGCGATTTTTTTCTTAAAAGAGAATCTATCTGATATTTTCTCAGTGTTACCTTATTGTAAAGCTATAAAAGTAGGATATTGTATCTTTCCAATGGAATGACTTCAGTCAGTTGAATAGATTATGCTTGGATGATTAATTTAGATCACAGAGAAGACAAATTTTTTGTGAGTAGAGGTCCGATTCCAGCTTATTATGAAAATAAATCCACTCAAGCTAATCCCGTTATTGGGAAGCGCGGTAGTGCAAAGACAAATGCGGATTGAGTTGGATGAACATATATATTTCACTGTCATTTACACGGAGAGATATGAGGATAAAAAAAATTAAAAAATTAGGCAAAGAAAGCGCGTGAGGCACTACATACTAACTACTTACTAACTAACTTACTTACTTGCTTACTTACTTACTTACTTACTTACTTACTTACTTACTTACTTACTTATTTACTTACTTAGCTACTTACTTACTTAATTACTTACTTACCTGCTTACTTACTAACTAACTAACATACTTACTTAGCTATTTACTTCCTCCTCAATTATTTGCCTACTTACGTCTGTTCATTCTTTTTTATGTCCGTTTCTCGGTTTAATGTGTTCTTTGGTCTTCTCTTTTCGTCTGACCTTGAGGATTGCAAGTTTGACGAATTCTCTTGTGATACAGTCGGGTACTTTCTTCAATGTGTGTCCTATCCAACTCCAATGTTTATGCCTTATTTCTATCTTTACTGAAGTCCAATTTGTTCTCTTCCACTGTAGGTTGTTGCTGATGTTGTCTAGCTGAGGCACGATTAACTATTTATACACATTTTAAATCATCAATCAATCATTGTTAGACCACCATTAGAAACCTGGAAGCACTGGACGATAGCCGTTTCGTCCTGGTATGAGACTCATCAGCGAAATCCCTAGATCAATCAGAGTTAGACATTAACACCGTTGAATGCCGGCCCGGTGGTCCGATGGTTAGGCGTTCGCCTACAATGCCGAAGGTCCTGGGTTCGAGTCCTGCGAGGTGCAGGAGTCGTGGATGCGCACTGCTGATGAGTCCCACACCAAGAAGAGACGGCCGTTTAGTGCTTCCAGGTTTCTAATGGTGGTCTAACAATTATTGATTGTAAAAACGCAAACCTCTAAAACTCTGCCCCAAAATAACTATTTATAGTCAGACTATGATAAGATAGACATATGATCAAAGAATTAAACGATCCACGGACACAAATGTTTATATAATAGAAAAACACCAAAGGTTTTTGTTTTTGGTAGGTGAATAATGAACCATGTCAAAAAGACAAATGAAAAATCACTTGAGGCGAATAGATTAATTGATTTGTCCAAGAGCTAGAACACAGCAAACAGCAAGTTGTCATTAGTGAATCTGTTTATCCTACAAACAAACACAGATGATCACATTTATATCCTGCACTGAAACCGCACTGAAACCGGTTCATATTATTGATCTGTATGAAAAAATGTAAATTACTTGACTGAGTTTTGTCCATGAATTTTTAAAGGAAAGAAGAATTGGAATATAATATTAGCTGTCATATTTCAAGTATTTAAGTGAAAAAAATGATGGTCTCCTTTAAAATCCATATGATTGTCTCTCTCTTCATTTAATGAACAAGCAAATTCGTGTCTTAATTTTATTCATATTATTTTAAGCAACAGTGAAGTATATGCTACTCACAAGGTGACGTATGAGTAGTAATGGTAGTAGTAGTATATAGAATAGTGTTGACTACAAGTGGTTACCACAAAGAAAATAGAAAGAGATTTAAATATATATAGTGGGATCAGTCAGAGTAGAAGATATTCGGAGGTTACTGGTTTTCGATCATAGGTGTATTGCTCGAGTATCGTGGCACAGCCAAGTAAGCAATGCTGTCGTTAGGATATGGGTACTAGGTAAGGATGGCATGTCAATAAATGAAGTAGTAAAACTTCATCAGTTGAGGTGGTTAGAACATGTGTTACGTATGGCTAACCACCGACTGCCTCGACGAGCTTTGTTTTGTGGTGTAGGAATAGGTTGGAAGAAAGCTAGGGGCGGCCAAACCGAAACATGACAGAAATCCATAAATTCATTGACAAATTGACTGATTCATGCTGGCAGGTGTCGACTACCTGGTTGGGGTCGGCGAGATGATAATAATTGATGGTTAGAGACCCTGAGTGACATGGCTCAAAATCGTTTGCAATGTCGCAGGTGCATTTATTCTTTGTGTTCTCCCAAATCCTAATCTTCTGGATTATTCAACCCCTCTAGTTTTGACTTTCTAAACTTTTCTCACTGAATCATACTTCTTGAATAATATCTTCTAAACCTAACCTCTCCGACTACTTCTAATACCTTTACTACCTCTACTATAATTGGATTTGAATTGACAATTACATCTGTGTGCTGATGTGGTATGTCAGCTTGAACTGTTGTACTTACGTGCAAAGTACTACGTTGCTGTTGACGATGATGATGATGATGATCATAGTGGGATCAGTGTAGTTTGATGATCATAAGATATGTGTAGACGAAAACAGTCAATAATTTACTT